ATCATGCAGCTTTTCAGGAGAACCACGGAGAAAAGACGTGTTGCTCGTCCTACGACCTGGACCTAGCTGTCAACTGGCCAACCAGCGGGCAAATCACAAACATGCCGGAATGTCCATACACCGACATTCTCTCTAGACCTACTGGCACACATAGCGATGGCATTGCCCAACACCGCCCGCAACACCACGTCCTGACATGGCATGTGACATCCCAATCGCAAGGTTTGAGCTCCCATCGGACCTCGAAGCGATCGTTGATGGTGTAAATTTCCACCATCTGGCTCCGGACCTGGCCGTGCCAGGCGACGCTTCTGCCTACACGTCCAAGACTTCGAGTTCCAGGCAATGGTCTGGAAGTTCGCCACATCCTCCGGGCTCAGGGTGTCCTTTGGCATGAACTCCTGCCATGTGCACCGCGACTCTCACATCACAGCACGTCATAACACAGCAGACCAGCCCCACCGCTTCCTTCACGGCGAGGTCCAATGCCTGTCGGAACTGGGCGTCTTCATCCTTTTCCGAGCCACTCTCCTGGACGGCCAATTCCGATCTCGTGCTCTTCTAGTTGTTCCGTTACATTTGACACGATGTTGACGTGTCAATGTGGCTGTGCCTCATCAATCTCGTCATCTGTCTCTGCCACGCACGGCTTCTCGAGGATCCGGCAGATGACATCCGCAATGCGGCCAGTTCCTGGAGCGGGTCCTATGAAATATGGGGCTATGAATTTCTCTTGCAGACAAAGTCCTGCCTCGGCAAACTACGAGAGGGCAGCCGGTGTTGATGGCCTACAGAAAGAATGGACGCTGGAACGGCTGCCTGCTCAGACAGCGGCGGACTGCAACCTGCACCAGCGAAATCAGCGAGATCTTGCCACCGTTCACCAAAATCATGACCTGCGCAACGCAAGTTGAACAGTGGCGTGAGTCGTTCACCGCCAATCCCGGCAAGGTCTGGGTGCTGCACACGTGGAACTCGAGTTCGCAGACCGCCGGCGTTCACGCCCTGCCGGTGTCTTGACCACTGCAGCGTTCTGCGGTCCTTCTTTGACAGTCCACGCTTTTGCGGTCCCTCGTCACGAACTCTTCGAACTTCGTGCCTAAGCACTGCATTGACATATTCTGCTCCAACTTGTCAACGGCACATTGCAAAAATTAGCGCATCGCGGAATTGGATCTCGGTACCGAAGGCTTTGCTTCCGACCTGTCACGCACAAGTCTGCACTGCATCGTCAAATATCGTCAATCCAAATGCGATGAGCAGTTCTGCCTCGCCGTTATCACAAATGATGAAGTGGGAGTGGTTGTCCTGGCAGCGGGCTCTCGCTTCCACTAATTCTCTGCACCCAAGCCCAAGTCCAGCTGCTCAGTCCTGGAGAGCCGCCAATGGAATGTTTCCATCGGTTTCTGGTGGCGCCCCCTCTGCGGGCTTTGCGGCAGCAGCATCCACCTGCAAAACGCAACCGGGGCAGATGCTGACTGCGACAAGCTCTGGCTGGAACGGGACCTTTGTCACAGCGGAGAAGTCCGGATCCTCAACAGCTGGGCTGGCAGTGTAGGACGCGCCTACCCCCTTCCTCTGACTTTTGGGACCCTGACGTAAGCTGAATTGATGAGGTCACGCCATTTGCACGTGAGCGCTCCTTTGAACTTCAGAACGATGGTATCTCGTCTGAGCTCAAAGAGCATCCCAATCTGAGATTGTCGCCGTAGGGAGTGATGCCAAGGCACGGCACCTCAGGAGCCGATGCACTAAGAGGGGTCAGCGAAGACGTAGAGGACAACGACCATGACGACAACCGGCCTGGCGCTGCTTGTCGTGTCTCTGCATTGCCTGAGACAGGAGAGTATTGGCCCGGCAGCGAGGAGGCATGCACCCGGCCTTGCCGACGATGTCCATCACTCCACTGGCGGTGCCACCCGTTATCACCCAGCCAGAGGTGCGAGTGGCCGCCTTGACGATTTCACCATTCTCCATGACATTCCATGCCCGTGCTTCAACCCGCTTAGACCCGCCTCAACCAGTCCCTGTGAGAAGCCCTCAAGGTCGAACTTGTCGGGAGGCAAGTTCATGTTCCCTGCACCTGCAGCAAGTGCGGCAGTCGGCAGGCAGTGGCAGGTTGAGGTACATGTGCGTGCGGACCTCCCATGATGGAGAGAATGAGGTTGGGATTTCGAAGACCCCATTCCTCGGTACGACGATGTCGGGATGACCCCCTCGGCTTTACATGGCAAGACCCTCTGGGGAGCTCGCGGGCTTCACAATACGCTCCAACATCTGCTCTGGAAAGGCTGCGTGGGATATTAAGCAGTACCTCGAAAAAACTGAGACCATTCTAAACGCCACCAGCACAGAAAGCAGCGAGCAAAAAAAAAGACTACTCCGGTCACTGGGAAGAGCCGCTATCAAAGGCGATCTCTGCGATGCCCTGGAAAAGACGGCAAAACTCGTGATTGTGATCGTTCCGACTAGTCAGAGATGGACTTAGGTCGCCGGCAGGGCGAGTCCTTCCCGGTGGCATGAGGGAGGCCTCTCACAGGCTGCTGTGACCGGGCTCGGGATGCACATCGAGCCGGCTTTCCTCGAGATCTTTGTCACACTCCGACGTGGCTTGTGCCACATCCTCGGCCACTCGGGTCCTTTCAGATTTTCTGCACGCAGACGGATGAAGTCAAGTACCGTGGCGAGGAGCCTGATCAAGGTCGGCCTCACGGCCAGAGCTACTCTCGACACTGCAGACCTGAACCTCAGCGGAGCACAAAGCCGACATGTTCAAGACCTGCAAGCATCTGCAAGCATAATGTACTTTTGGGAACCGTGCTTACGGGCAACTCCCGTCGTCTCCGGTGGCAGGTCCTTGTCCTTGGAGTCACAGGCGCCTGTGATCTGATCTACAAAAAAATCCTTGGAGTCTCCCACTTGGCCTTCCTGAGATCGGGACCCCAGTCGACTCCGCAGGCAGACTTGTGGCATGCGGGATCCCACAACCCTCCGTGAAGGTTCTGGCTCTCGTCCTGCCATCTGTACAATGACCATGCCACAGTTCTCAGGTTAGCAACCTTCCCCCATTCACATGTCCGATCCTTTGCAGATCTGAGTGGCCCACACTAACTTGTTGTTTTTGACGGTTTTTCTGCCTCCCTGTGACAGACAGTTGGAACAAAGCGTCGGCTAAACCCTGTTTCGGGACTGCCTGCTGCACCTAAATGAAGCACCTGATGAACCACATAAAGAAGACAACCGCTGCAGCACTCCCGTAAACAAGCAGGCAAGAGCATTCCACCACAACCCAGACGCCAGATCGGAAGTCAAGTCAAACGTCACCCACAGTCAAAACACCGAAACCACACAAACTATGCAGCCTAGAGCCTTTACCCTCGAAGCGATGGAAAGGATCGGCAAATGCCCAGGCCGCACGTAACGGTCGCTTATCTCTAAGTCTTTCCGTTTCAAACTCGTCGGGGATGCGTCTTGGAATCGAGGTGGTCCTTGCTTCGATTTGCTCCACAGGTGAAGTGTAGCAGCAGCTTCCTATTTCCAGGGGTCGTGCTGTAGCGCTCTTCTTGAACAGCCTTGGGCAGTGTGGAACGCTATGGAAGAAGTGCAAACATCTCTGCATGCACTAAGCCTCTAAGCACCAAGCTTTTCATCGTTGCTGGGCGTGTCAACAGAAGTTTCTGTTGCACTTCGACGACGCTGGCATCGGGAAACGCTTGAACCAAACCGAATTTCACGGTGGTCTTAGTTGTCTTCTGGGGACGCACATAGTCCGTGTCAGTCGAAGGGTGCAAACAAGCGAGCAAGGACGGCCAACTTTCCATCCGAGACTTGCGGCATGACACCGCGGAGCCATCAGTCCTGCCACGCATGCTGCCAACATACGACGATCCTACTCAGAGCATGAACGCTGCTGTCGGCCTCCAGCGTTCTCCACGAAGCGAAACTAATGTTTGCAGCAGATAACTGCGCTTTTCTGGTAACTTGACGGCTATACACAAGCGCTGTTCTTGAGTTGAACTTAGACTTAGAGGCTTAGAGTGCTGCACTACTGCATGCGAGGCGGCCAAAGGCTTGTCTCAGATTGCATAGAGAAGATGAGAACGACGCCAAGCGACACAGACAAGACATGATCACATAAACTGCTCCCTGTCATTGGGTAGAGCGAGTGCTTGCTGATTACCCGGACCAGGGCATCCTCCATGTTTCGAGCAGACAGGTTGCTGGGCGCCGATAGCTTCAGAAGCTCGCGAAGAGGGGGCTCTCTGGCAAAAAGGTCACGGCCATTTCTTTCCAGTGGCCAGTCCATGAATCTTTGGCACCCTCTGCTCCGAGGATCAAGAGACACCAAGCGGCAGAGACAAGCTGAGAGAAGTGATGAGGCTGGGCTGTGCTCACTCCCAAGTCTCCGGCTTGGCAAAGATGGCGGCACGAAGACAGTGCATCCACCGGACACTCAACTCTGAGTCACTCTACCCGGGGATGAGAGACATGACAAATCTGAGTGGAAACGGTCTGGCCTTCTTTCCTTAGCAAGCTTGTCAAACTTCCGATATGCACTGCAATTGCTTTTATCTCATCCCCGCTGGCCATCCTTCGGGATCAATACTACACATCGTGCAAGTCGAGTTGTGCGATCTTCTCTCCAGGCTGGGACCCGGACAAAGGAGGCTGTGCTTAGTTACGCAACATGAAGACCGCAAGACTGCAAGTGGCCCGCGTGCACAGACAAAAATGGTACCATGTGCCCCGTCTCTTCTGTCCCGGATAAAGATTCAAAACCAGCTGCAATTGATACGTGCTATGTCTCCGTCGAATCATGTGTCCGGGAAAACTCAGAAAGCCTTAAAGCACATGACCAGCGACCGTCACAGGATCAGGTTACAGCACAGTCGGCCAATTCAAAGCCTCAAAAATCGCACATCTTGCAGCTGAGAGAAGAGCTTTTCCTGTGCTGGATTTGCTTTCAGACTGGTACTGAGGCTGCCACCAAGCTCTTGGCCTCAGTAATCCTGGCAGCCATGCAGATCGTACTTCATTTTCGCACTTGCCTCAGCCTTTTCCGAAAAAGCCTCAACGAAGCCGGTAGTGCGTCAAAATCCTCCTCCCCATCGTCGGCATCGTCATCCTTGCTGTCAGCATCGACGACCACCTGAGTAGCCAGCACAGAGCTGCTGCCTCATCTGCCTTTCTTCATCACCACCATCATGCAGCAGTCCCTTTCGGCCCCTGACACACTCGGTAGTCAAAATCATGGCTGCAATGGAGGTTGCATTCTGCAGGGCGGATCGAGTGACCTTCAAAGAATTTCGCTGAGATAAGGATGAGCCGGCCGTCTCACATCAAGCCTTCGCCGGATCGATGATGCCCCGCCTGAGACGACCACGAACACTCTTGACGTGGAGCAAAAGCAGTTCAGTCAAGTTGCTCGAGCATATCCGCATACTGCAACATTAGCGCGTCAAAGCCTGCAGACTTAGAATCAGATTCATGTTCGTCAACACTTGTCAACCGAGTCCAGTCAGTCCTTGCTTCGTGTCTGCTGTATCTGCAACCTGTCAGTCAATGCGAGCAAACACTCTGCCCTGAAAACTCTTCTTTTCAGATAGCTTGGCGAAGTCAAGCAATAACTTGGATGAGTGCGATGTCTGCAATAGCTCGAACTGACTGGCGGTATCAACCAAGCCAGCCACTAAGAAGGGGCCGACACGAATTCACTGCAAACTGCCGACACGATTCCGCCACAAGGCGATAGGGGTTGCGGTGTCCCGGCACTGTTTACAAGGTCGTAGAAACCGTGTTGACGAAACTGCACCTGCAAACCGGCGATGTCAATGCGAAACAGAATCGGTTCAATCTTTCTCCCGGCAAACTATTGGCCAAACTTCCTTAAGCGAAGGTGCGACTTGACCAACACAGGAACCGCTCGTCTATCAAGGCGGGCCACAACCTTTGACCGGAGATCAGCGTGCAACGTGAGAGTCTTCAAGCATTCAGACTCACAGGTTTTACGAAAGCTTCGGACGGCGACAAAAAATCCCAGCCGACGGGTGCTATCAAGCACGGCCTGAAGCGTAAACATTCAGCTTTTTAGGGGCAGTGTTGGCCCCCTTATTCGTAACAGCTCTCATATTGGTCGTGCGTGTGCGTGCCTTTTCAGCAACGAGCTCGCCATTTTGGCCAGAGTTTGCCTGGCAAGGCAAAAAGCGGAGTTTTTCCACCTACGCTCAAGCGCAATCATGCGCAGGGCGCACCGCAATGCGCTTGAGAGGTGCACTCATGGAGTCGGCAACGATGAGGGCGCCCTTCAGCTCGTCCTGGACCAAAGCGCCACGATCGCCACGTGGCATCGCATCCGCTGCAGGAGCGCCGTGCCGCTCGGTGCGCCTCTGAGAGATTCTCCGGTGCCCACGACCGCAGCGCTTGCGAGAGGTGGCACCTCGTCGGCTGCCAACTACAATCAGGAGGTCAGGCAGTGTCCTTCTTCTGCTTTTGAAATCGCGGACAGCCGAGGCAGCGACAGAGCTGCACCGCCGCCGGGTACGATGCCTTCATCCACTGCGGCCTGCAGCTCACTGCAGCTCTGCGGGCCAACGAGCAGAGGCGGACAAGGACGTTCTGCCTTGGTCGCATTGATCGCATCCTCCAGTCGGAGCTTCTTGTCCTGCCAGTGGTGCGCCACCGCGATTTCGAGCACTGGCGCTGGTGTCCTTCAACTCAGTCTCCGTTGTCGCACCAACCTGCAGCCACATCGGTACTCGGTACACTTGCTTTGGCCTTCGCGCCGCCAGCCTTGATCAGGGCAACGCCGCCCACAAGCTTGGCGAGGCGCTTCTCGAGCTGCTCCTTCGTGTAGCTGCTCTTCGTCTCCTCGATCTGCCTGATCCAGAAGGCTCTGCGCACGAGCAAACGCCGACTTGCGTGGGACCTTCGGAGCTGCTCGCAGCGCTCTTCCAGAGCCTCTGGACGTGAGTCTGCTGAACTCTCGAGCTGAGGCGTTCACGGTCCTCTTTGGGTGCATCTGCCACAATCGTGGTCGAGTCCTCCCCGAGTACCGCTTGCAAAGGTGAACTGAAGATTCAGCTGGTCCTTGCCCACGGATATTCGGCGGGCTGAGCCTTGCTTTAGCTGCGTGGCGTGTACTTCCGAGTAGTTCGGACTCTTGGAGTCCAGCCGAAGTCCTCGGCCGTGATGGACTCTAACTTGCGGCCCAGGTCCTCTGTGATGTACCTGAGAACATCTGAGAACTCTGTCCCCCCATGTCCCTCTCGGGCTGTCTCAGGCATCGGCGTGGCGTTGGTCACCAAGGCAATGTCCTGCAGCACACTTCGGCTTCATATCATGCCACACACGAATCCTCACAACAATACATCTTCCGCTTCGCCTGCAGAATGGCCTTTCGGTTGTCACCGAAACCGGGTGCTTGAATCGCACCTTCTTCGGCTCCGCAGCCCAAGTGGTGCTCACAGCATCTTTGAACTCAGGTGAACTGACGACTCAGGCTTCAGCAGCAGTCGACAATGCCTCGAATTTTGTTTACGATCAACGTCGCCAGCACCTGAGAACTTGATTGAATCCGGCCGTGCTGGGCCATTTCAGCAAGAGCCCCCTTGCCTCTTTCTCGATGGTGTCCGCCACAACAAGGAGTGGCTTAGACATCTGCTTTGCAATGGTCAAGATGGGGATCAACTCCTGCAGCAAGCGGCAGCAGAGGCAAGCAGCGGGCAAGCAGCGACAGAGCAAGGCAAGGCTCGGGGCTCCTGTTGGGCCATGGAGATCTTCTGGTCCGTGACCAGGACGAGCGGTGCATTCCTCTGGACAGTTCTTCTGTCGCAGGCAATCCCAAAGCCTGCAAGGCGAAGCCAAAACATGCGGCTGAGCTCAGAACGCTTCCCAAGTTCGACTCGTCGGGTTGGATGCATCGAGGCACAGGTACGGAGATAGATATCCCTGAGGGGGCAGGGCAGCCCACGAAGTTCAGGGCAAGAATTCATATCAGGACTCTGGCCTTGTCCAAGTTCATTCCCTCTGTCAATTCCACTTCGGTAGTGGTCGACTGGGACCTACAAGGAACGGTTTTGCACTTTGTCGACATGCATCCTGTCGTGTAGGCCGCTGGCTCCTCCAAAGAGATCACACCACTTCCACCGACCTCGCAGAAAGGTGCAAATGAAAACGAAACGCCGCTTCGGGCCAATAACCGCCCCCTCGTGTGATGGCTTGTGGCATATATGCTCGCAATTCGTCGTAGACAGCGCCTTGGCCATGGCGTCTGCAATCATCTTCCCCGCCTAGGCGTGCTCTGCGGCCACAAGGAGATGAGATGCTGGGGTGCGACCCATGGCCTCGTCGTCTCCACCCGCAGAGATGGCTCCCACCTTAGACGGGGGAGCTGGAAGCCGAACAAACTGCAGGCAGCTGAGCGAGAAGGTAAGTCAGAGAGAGCGACTGTGACACGACATCCAAGACACTGGGAATGACAGCTGGGAGAAGCCCCTCGGGTTAGTCAGGGATTATTGATTTTAAAATGATTATTTTATGTGTTCGGGTCTACGATATAGGTTATCTTGTGATTTTAGTTGTGTTTCACACGCGATTTGCCTGTGTTTTGTTAAGGTGTTTCAGATGTCAAGGATATTTTCTCCATACTGCGTACGTCGATTTTTCCATTTCGCGTTGTTTCGGTGGTTTAGGAAGTTTAGGATCAATGGATTTGTTGTGCGCTAATCCAACACGTCGACCACGGGATTTGAAGGGCGTCGGCCGCCATATCCACGGAGAAGTCCATCGGGTTAGTCAGGGGTTATTGATTTTATGTGTTCGGTTGCGCGATATAGCTTATTTTGTGATTTTAGTTGTGTTTCACACTGGATTACAATTGCAAGAGTTCGAGCAGCCGACCGGGGTTTTCCTCAGATGCAGGTATCCGACACTTGAGGTGCAGAGCCCACGGCAGTCAGCTCGAATGCAGAGGAGTGCAGCTGAGATATACATCTAACGATACACCGAGTTGGATGACTACACTGGGGCAGGCCCTCGCTGTAACATTCACATGCTCCGCCACTCGGCTTCAGACGCAAAATGGGGAATCGCGTTTCATGCCGGGGCTTGGCTTCGGCTTTTGCCGCTTGTGCTTTGGGAGGCCGATGTCCCCCTTTTTGGGATACTTGGGATTGTGTGTGCGTAGTCCAACATGTCCCGGATCTGCTTCTCGACATCAGCAGACAGCGAAAAGAAGCGGACAAAGTAGATCTGTGGCAAGCTTACGTTACTTGTGCATCACACAGGATGTAAAGCATGCGGGGGGTTGTCTAAATGTCTTTGCCTGAAGGTGGCCGAAATGGTGGGTTCCTTCGGGCCCCGACTCATCTCTAAGAGAAAAGTATTGGT